GGACTCAAGCATGGCAATATAGTAGTGAGGCTGGCCCAGGATTGGGCAGTGTTTCGTTCTGCTGTGCATAGTGCATAAGGTGGCTATGAGTTGGTACCGACTCGATGGAACCTAACAACAACAACAACAACAACAAAAGTGTTTCTGAGGAGTGACTGGTGGTTAGCAGTCCAGGGCTATCCTAACAGATCCACCACACTCTCCTTGTCAGGTTAATGTTGTTGTTGTTAAGTGCGGTCGAGTCGATTCCGACCCATAGCGACCCTGTATAAGGTTTCCAAGGAGAAGCTGATGAGCTTGAACTGCTGACCTTGCAGTTCAAATGACTTTGCAGTCTGGCGCATTAACCCACAGTGCCACACCAGGACTCCAATATAAAAAATGACTATATCTTTTTATTCCAATTTTCCATGAACTTTTTGAAAGCCCCCCTAATGTGTACAGAAGCACAATATGTTTATTGGGCCATATCCAAATCAAGAGTTTTACTGCTTACGCTAGGAGAGAAAAGAAGGCCACAGATTCACAAAACCCATAAAAGAATTTGTCTGTTGGTAATTTCCTATTAGTACGAAATTTAATTCTTTTAATCAAACAAAAATGTAAGCTCTCAAGGGAATGAAATTGTTGAATAATGCTATTGCTTTCATCTTTTCTCCTTTTCTTTCTTTTAACCACTCATTCCTCAGCTTCCCTATTAACTCAAGTATTAACAAAACAATGTAACAAGACAAAGTAAGACAGAAAACCAGAAAAGAGAATCAGGGGTGAAGATGTGGGTAGAGGTTGGAGGGAGAAATTATAAACTACTAATACCAAGTAACATCCTAGTACAATGCTATAGGATAATCACTCCACCTCAAGGTCAGTCTGAACCACAAGGGCGACGGTTCAAACTTACCAGCCACTCCTTGGGAACCCTACACAGGGTTGCTATGAGTTAGAACCCACTCAACCACACTTAACAACAACATCCAAGTAGGTGGTGTCCTTGTCCCCAATTGGTATTCAAACCATCTGAGCTCTTAGAAACTCAACCTACATATCTGCATTTGGGTACAATTCCCCATTTCCCAGGGCAAGAGGTACAGAGATGTAACAAATAACCAATCATTCAGTTTCTGGTAAAGTACATTAACATTTGAGTTTGTCTGCTAAAAAGTCATTGTAATACAGAAGTTCATTGTACCATTCTTGCAAAAACCATTTAATTTTTTAAAATAAGTTAAAATTTGAAGATGAAGATTAAATAATGAATACAAATGACTCCACAACATATATGTATGTTGTTGTTCTTAGGTGCCATGGAGTCGGTACCGACTCAGCCACCCTATGTACAACAGAATGAAACACTGCGCAGTCTTGGGCCAACCTCACAATCATTGCCACACTTACACTTAAGCCCACTGATACTGCCACTTGGCCAATCCATCTCACTGGGGGTCTTTCTTTTTCTTTGACCCTCCATCTTACCAAACATGATATCCCTCTCCAGTGACTGGTCCCTCCTGACAATATGTCTGAAGTATGAGAGATGAATTCTGGCCATCCTGGCCTCCAAGGACCACTCTGGCTGCACTTCTTCCAACACAGATCTGTTGGTTCTTTTGGCAGCCCATGGCACTTTCAATATTCTCCTCTAACACCATAACTCAAAAGCATCATTCTTCTGTGGTCTTCTTTATTCACTGTCCAGCTTTCAGAAGCATATGAGGTTATTGAAAATACCATGGCTTGGGTCAGGCGCACCTT